AGGAAGGATAAACACATACGACAAACCAACAACATCATTTATTCATTCCATGATTGTGATAGATGTTTCTGCATGTGAGAGAAAAAGAAACAAATAGCTTTTTATCTTCTACTCAATTAAATTTGTCTGTCTCTTCTGGTCAGATTTTGAAGTTATACTATACCACTGAAGTGCTCCTTTAATCTTCTCCTTTGTTAATTCCTCAATGTTATTCTGTCACTGCTCCCTTTCTGTTTGAATAGAGAAGCTTGCTTCCAGCTCTGTCACCTATATATCTGAGGTTAAAACCTTTGATTTTATCTCTGATTGAATGTTTCACATTGGGAAACTACTCACCTGTCCAGCAGTGTCTAGAATGTCCAAATAGGCTGGTTCGTCATCAATTCGGACTTGAGTTTTATAGGCATCCTCTGAAAAACACAGTGCAGCACGGCTAAGCATACGAGTGACTCGGAGAATGGAAAATAAAATAGCTTTACTAGTTTGGAGTAGGCTTTTCAAAAGCCCTCCAGTCTAACATAACTTTTCTTTCTTTCAGGTCAAAAAGACACTTTCTGAAATCCTACCGTCACTGCAAAGTATTAGCAAAAGGAAGCAATCTAGTCTTTTCTATTACACTACCTCAAAATAATAAAGAAGTAAATTTGCCTCGCTTTAAAAGGATAACACAGACCACAGGTGTTGTTTAAGTCACAAAGCTTCAGAGGTGTTGTGCTGGTGCTATGCAGCAGAGTGGGTTTTAGTTACCTCAATCACGCTTCCACAGAGCTTTTCCAGCAAACAGTTTCAAGCTAAAGATTGTCTAAATTACTGGGAAAGTCTCCCTGTGGCTGAAGAGGGCTTCTGGCTCAGATATGTCAGAGTAATTAATTAGACCTCTGTATATCTCTGGAGTGGATGTAAATGGATTTTTTAAAATAAATTCTGTAATCAGTGCCCTCACACTCATCATGGCCAGGGGTGGAGGAGGAAAAAACTGTGCTTGGTGGACCGTTCCCTTAGCTCGTGACTTTGTTAACCTAAATTTGAAAGAAGAAAAACAAAAAAGATGAACTATTATTTACATAAATTGTTTTCCTTACATTTCATTTTCATTTCCCTCTCAACTTTTGTACGGTCTTCCTAAGGTAAAATAGAGCTTAGATACCAGGCCATGTTTATACTTAAAACAGTCTTGGAAATTATCTGTGTTGTTTAATTAAACAAAAATGCATAGCAGCCTGAGTGGTTTTGGCGACTGATGTGATGCTTTGGCTGTGCATCGAGGCGTGACCACAAGACAAGTGCATTTCATTCATGTGAGAAGTGTCATTAATCATCATGAGCACGTGGCTGGCCTGTACAAAGACTCAATCGTGCAAGCCCTGGCTGCCAGAGACCCTCAAGACAAGGGTCTCAATGCTTATTGAGATAATGTTGAGATTATAATATGGGATTATATTACGGGTAGCGGGGATTCTCAGAACAGTCCATTTTGTACCCTTTGTATTTTGCATCATATGACACTTTATAAAAGCACATAAAAACCTGGTTTCCACCCACACAAAGAAAAAAATCAAAACATTCAGATAAGAAGGATTCTGGATGGCCTTAACTCAGCCCACTCTTGCGCAGTCAGTGGCAGGCTCTCTTAAATGACATAATCACACAGTAATTTCTGTGACTCTCCTGCTTCTTTTAGGCCTCAGTTCAGCAGATTACTTAGGCACATGCCTCGCTTTAAACAAATACCTAATCCCACTGACATCAGGAGGACCTGGAGGCTCAACTAACTGTATGATACATTGCCTTGCTGAGAAAGCCAGAACACTCCAACCAGCATATGCTTCAGTCAATATATCTTTTTTTAGGAATTGCTGAATAAGAAGCTCCATGCCAAAGAGGCATGGCAATGATGCGTGCAGTAGATATTTTTTTCTTTATAACTTAACAAAAATATGAAAAACTAATATGAAAGTACATAAAATCAAGTATGTTATTTCCTTCATATGAATTCTATTAAGACTATGAAGTATTATTAACGTGTTTCCTTGCAGGTGGGTGCCCATTTGCATTACATTCATGCATACATAGTTAACATATGACTTGCATAAATTTAGCTTGCACTCTTGGCTCAGCAGCTGGATAGTCTAAAGCCAATATGCCAGAGTCCTACTCCTCTCTTCGCTTACACCAATGTGAGTTTTAATGCAGGAGCTTTAAAACAGTTAATGCAGAGAGATATTTGTATAGTCAAGATCAGCTTGGATAAAAATTAAGCTGGAACCTTAATAAATCCTGTCTTATTTGCTAAGGAAATGAATTAGGAGTTCAGAATTAGTTCTAACTAAAAGACCCACTGGTCTCTGAATATAAGTAATAGATTTCAGCAAGTATGAAAGATATCTACGTCTAATACCCTGCTGAGCCTACTCCAGGTGTACCCCCATACCATGCCACTCTAATCAGTAAAGTTTCGACTGTCAAAAGCTGGAACAAGGCTATGTTTATAACCCTTTTACTTTGCAAAAGTAACACTGAATGTACAAACCTATTTTCATTTATTTTATTTTCTCAAACTATTAACGTTAAAACACATCACAAAAATGTGCCAGAGTTACTGTCTCGTTTTTATTCTTAATATATGCAAACTTCTTCTGTTGGTGGTAGTGGAATATATTGAACCAAGCACTCAAGTCTAAATGGTTTTCTAAGCAAAGCATGTACTTGGAACACACTTTTTATTTGTAGGATTTGCCTTTGCCCCAGGAAATGTAGAGACAAAACAGGAAGAAGATAGGACTTTCATTTGTGATGTTCTCTGTCTGCATATGTGCAAAAAGCAGGATAGTACAAATAATTCAGAAAAGCTTAAAAATATCCTCAACTGGGGTGGGATAAGCAGAGGTATTCTTAATCTGTATTTGAATGGAAAATGGATGGAAGATTTAATGCCTACTTTTTTCTTAAGACACTTATTTAAGAGGAAGGCCGAAAGCCCAAATTTATCAAGGGAATTGCTATCTTGAGCTGACACCCTTGTGCCAGAGATCACATTATAGCACCCACTTACGACCTATCAGCTTCTTAATGCTCAAGCACAACCAGTCTTCTGAGGGACACCATCTTTACATTTACCCTGTGTATTCACTGATCTCCTGGGCTACTAGGACCATGGATTTTTCCAGTGCAGGAGGTAGAAGAAAGATGCATAAACTGAAAAACATATTTCCCATCTCATGTTGTATGGACCAGGAAGACAAGCTGAGAGTGGAAAAGCTGTACCATTTAGTTCTAGCTTACAATTAATACTTTTAAAGTGAGATTTCATCTCAGGAACTAATGGAAATAGAGCTAAGTGAGGGTTTACATAGACAAAAACCTTTGTTTTACTCATTTGGACTACGGGACATGGGCATTAACCTGGAAAGAAACAACCTCCTAGAGATCAAGAGTTGGATATGTCTGTATCTTGACCCAGTTGACATATTTTTTGCTTTATTAGTAGCTATAACTCGAAGCAGAAACCCTGGGGTCTTCAAATGCTTCCAAAAGGATTTCAAAAGGAACTGCTATGTAGACAGTCTTTTTTAGTCCCAGGAATATAGTACACACTATGGTCATATTCAGGAAACAGAAACCCTGAGATCTGAGAGGAACACACTGTTTACATGTGGACAGAGAAGAATAGAACTGAAGGTGTATAACTGAAATAACATCTAAGCATATATAAAACAGAGCAGGAGCACTAGCAAACTCACAGTCTAATCTCCTCTCTTTAAAAATTATTCACATTGTTAAAAAAGCTGTCTGGTATATTTACACTATTTGCAATGTTTGAGGACATTACATTGTCTTTCACTTAATTAATTTATAATACTAATATAACGCTCACTTGAAAGTTAATGGGGAGCTGCTAAGCCACGTGTATCTGAATTTTACATCTTACAGCTCTAAGGACTAATATATATTAAAAGGCCAAACACCAGCTGTCATTTCAGTAAAGCATTAAGATAAGGTGCAAAAAAGAGATGAGAATAATAATCAGACATCAGACAATAAGTCAGACAATAAGTATATATCTTACATTAAGTTCAGCATTAGTCTTTTTCTGTGAGGCTAACTGTAAGGTCGCAGCTCCTGGTTTAGTTAAAAAGCAGCAGAAAGATAGGGTATTATAAGAAAAAAGATGTGGATGGATTTTATTGCTATTGCTGTAAGATATAACCAAGATGTAGCCATGACTCAAACACAGACTGCAAAAAAGAGCAATTTGTAGGTACCAAAGAGAAAAATTAAATAAGAACACCTGCATTCTTTCAATCTGTATAGTACATGAATATATGAACTGAATAGTTAAAATATCAGGCAAAGCTTAAACTTTAAAGAGAATTATTCTCTACCTTCTCTGTATAGAATATGGACTTCCTTAATAATTTAATGTCCTACAAAAACTAAAACTAAAAATATATAGAAATTTCAGCTTAAAAAGTTATACTACTTGACTTGAAGTATTACTGACTGTTTACTGTTTTCCAGGATGGGGGGAAAAAAAACCAAACAAACAAACACAAAAAACAAATAGAAATCCAACTGTTTTCTGAAAGGCACCTGTTCTTTTTTAATATTAATTCTTTCCTCCTTTACTGAATGTAGCATTTAAATAAAGAAAAAATATCTTTTGAATAGGTGATTTTTAAGTTTTTTTTCTTAATTGTTTGATTGTCCTTTGCAGTATTATGAAAGAAAGGAAAAAAAAAAATCTTCTTTAAGCCTTTGTTACTTGACTTATTTTGTAAAATGAATGCATCCGCTTTTTTCAGCTTTCCTTTTTTATAGGACATCAGACAGAAGTGCAATAATTAATGTGAGGTTGTGTTGCGATCAGTTGTCTTAGCACTGGAGAAGCTAGATTCATAAAAAATATATCAAAGACTTTTTCAGCTATGAGCAGGTAACTGCTTCCTGACAAATAGATTTGGATGGTGTACAATTTAAATGGGAGTTGGAATGGGCTTTTCATCTGCATTACAGACATGTTCCAGTCCCTGAAATATAGGTCAGCTGCTTTTTTCTTACATTTGTTAATTCTGCTTATATTCCTTCTAAATAAATAGTCTCTCTTCTTCTCTGTCTTACACACTATCATCTGCAGTTAAAACCAATCAGATTCTCACATATATAGATGAGCCAAAATATATTTTATTTGGCTAAGGAGGTGCCAAACCAGCAGAATGAAGTCCAAGCTCAGTCAGCCACACCTGGAATTCTGCCTGTTGTTTTTCTCCCTCTGTGCCAAAGAGACAGCAGGAGACCCAGCTCTTGGTGTGCTTAGATTACCTGCTACATGCGCATTTTAATCCAGAGGTGCTCCTGCATGTAGGATAACCATGAGTCTTTGGCTGGATGAGTGCTATTTCTATTTACAACA